ATGGATGGATGGATGGATGGATGGATGGATGGATGGATGGATGGATGAATGGATGGATGGATGGATGGATGGATGGATGGATGTTTCAGCTTAAATTTGAAAAATAACACACTGAGTAAAAAGAGTTTATTCTTCTATTGCACAGTAAAAAAACTTTTTTTATTTTATTGTCTTTTTATATTATAATCAATAAAAATGCAAATATTAAAAACCATATCACAAGAAGAGAAACACGAGGATAATAGTAACGGCTAACTTGTATAAGTTTAAAAGCAACTTTTGATAGCTTTAATAAAACTGAAAGAAACTGTTGAAACTGTTTTGAAGCCCTAAAATATAAAATAATTGGATTTATCATCATGAAACATCTTGTTAGATTATTATTTCTAAATAAAACATTTGTAGGCTAAGTGACAAAAAAGCTTCATTTGATTAAATCCTCATTTTTAACTGAAAATGTCCACTGTTGTTTCTCAACAGTAAATAAAAACAAAAGTAATGTCTTAATAATTATTTTACATTCAGCATCGCTTTGACTTATGCACAATCCCTCGTTACATTTATGTGTACCCCCACCCCCATCATGTGAACATTCATATTTATGTCCTATGTGCAATTTTTTTGTTTGTTTGTTGTAAACAATCCTAGAATTTCATGTGCAGTTGGATCTACTTTTCCCATTTCTTCAAACAATTTAAAACTACAGGTGCAATTTTTAAACCACTTTTTATTTGTTTGTAAGTTTACTTGTTTTTGTTTGTGTTTTAATGGTTATTCTATTTTTTAAACTTGAATGTTACCCCTACGCCTCTGTATATCCTGTAATGTCTCATTGTACATGCAGTGACAAATAATTCACCGTATAAGTAAGTAAGTAAAGTTTATTTATAGAGCGCTTATCACAGACATAAAATCACAAAGCGCTGCACAATAAAAATCAACGCTAAAATATACAAAGAATAAAACAAACCTAAGAATTACAAGAAGCACAGTAAAATCATGACATAAAAAGAATAAAAGTGTTTTCAGTTGCTTTTTAAAAACCTCAACAGAGTCAGCAGAACGAAGTTGCAGGGTCAAACTGTTCCACAGTCTTGGAGCCACTGACTGAAACGCCCGGTCCCCTTAAGTTTTCAGCTGCGTACGTGGAACATCCAAGAGGTTCTGTGACCGGGAGCGAAGGCCACGAGCAGCAGAGTATTTGGTCAAAAGCTGACAAAGATGCACAGGAGCCTGGCCATTTAAAGCTCTGTACGTCAGCACAAGAACTTTAAAACGGATTCTAAACTCAACTGGGAGCCAGTGCAGTGAATATAGAACCGGGGTGATGTGACAGTATTTGCTGGATTTGGAGAGAAGTCTGGCAGCTGCGTTCTGAATTACTTGTAGATGAGAAACAGAAGACTTGTCCAGGCAGGTAAAAAGGGCATTACAGTAGTCCAGACGCGATGATACAAAAGCGTGAATCATTTTTTCTAGGTCAGTTCTGGAGACCATAGGTCGTATTTTAGAAATGTTTCTTAAATGAAAGAAACAAGAACAGGAAATAGCTTTAATGTGAGACTCAAAGCCCAATGATGAGTCAAATGTGACTCCTAATTTTTTTACTTTTGATTTGGCTACTGGGCAGCAAGAGGCAATTTTCTGATTGATTTTTGGGTGAAGGTGACTGGGAGCAGTAATCAATGTCTCTGTCTTACTGGTGTTTAAAACCAGGAAGTTACTGGCAAGCCAGTCACTAATACAGGACAAACATTGGACAAGGATGGCCAATTTATCCAGCTGGTGTGGTCTAAATGAAAAATACAACTGAATGTCATCAGCATAAATGTGATAAGAAATATCAGAAAAGGATTGAATAATGCTGGCAAGTGGGATAATAAAAAGGAAAACAGAAGGGGACCCAGAACTGAGCCTTGTGGCACCCCACAATTTAAGGGGGCATAATCAGAGGAGAACCTGTCCGTCTTGATGCAGAAAGTTTTGTGAGATAGGTATGATGTGAGCCAGTCCGAAGCTGAGCCAGAAATACCAGCCACCACCTTCAGTCTGTTTAATAAGGTTGCGTGGTCGACAGTATCAAAGGCAGCACTAAGATCTAACAGGACCAACACAGAGCATTTTCCTTCATCAGCAACCATGAACAGATCATTGTGGACTTTTACCAGAGAAGTTTCAGTGGAATGCTGTTTTAGAAAACCAGACTGAAAGGGATCAGAGATCTGTAACTGACAGAACCAGGATCTGAGTTGGGTTTCTACAACTTTTTCAAGTAATTTACTGAGAAAAGGCAGTTTAGAAATGAGACAGAAGTTGGAAAGGGAGCCAGAATCAAGGTTAGGCTTCTTTAAGAGAGGGGTCACTTCTGCTGTTTTAAAATACAATGGGATGAACCCTTTGTTCAGGGAGTTGTTAATTATCATCAACACTGTTGGACCAATACAGGCTAGAGTCTGGACAAGCAAAGAGGGAGGTAATATTTCCAGTGAACAAGTAGAAAGTTTCATTTTGGCAAATAATGAAGTCAGGTCATTTAAAGTAATCAGAACAAAAGAAGAAAATGACTCGGAACACTGAGGCTCATCTTGAAAAGTATTCCATGATGTTGAATATATTTCAGGTACCAACGGCTGTGTCCATTCAGGAGCCAATGCTTTGTGCTGGATGTGGCGAGCAGGTGTGCGACCGCTTCTTTCTATTGGCTGCGGGGAGGGTGTGGCACGGCGCCTGCCTCCGCTGCAGCCAGTGTCAGTGTGAGCTGCAGACTCAGCCTTCCCTCTATTGGAGAGACGGGAACATTTACTGCCAGCAGGACTACTGCAGGTCTCTACACTGAATCAGTTCACTTGTATCAGTAGTTTGTTCAGTTTCTGACGTCTGGTTTTCATGGCTTGATAGACTTTTTGGAGGAGGTCAGTGTGCTCGCTGCTTCCAGCCAATCCCACCCACCGATTTGGTCATGAGGTCCGGTGAGCTGACCTTCCATCCTCACTGCTTCTCCTGCCAGGTATGTTAAAAAAGCTTATGTTGTCATTATTTTATAATTTTGAATAATTTCAGATATTTTCCAAAACTGTTTTGCAGGAATGTGATGTGAAATTAATGCCTGGGAACCTGTACTTCATGCAGGGCCCAAACCTGTACTGTCAGTCTCATTATCATGGCGAGGGAGGCAACCTGCCGCAGCTAGACCCCTCACAACTAAATCTAAACGAAGGTGAGTGCCTTTATATACGACTTTTGTAACTAAAGATCATTCCTGTGCAAGCTAAGAGACAAACCTGATGAATGATGCAAACGAAAGTGAGAAAAATAAAGAAAAACAACAGACTTACTACTTTGTACAATCAAACCCAATGGTTCCCAACACTAGTCCTTGAGGAACACCATCCTACACATTTTAGTTGTTTCTCTGCTCCAACAAACTTGATTCAGTGATTTAATTACTTCATCAAGTTCTGCCGAAGCCTGTTAACCATGCCATTCTTTCAAATCAGGTGTGTCAAATCAGGGAACCCATTAAAACATGCAGAATGGTGTTGCTCAAGGACTAGGGTTGGGAACCATTGATTTGGCTATTCATACTCTACAACTCAACTGCCTTTTAAATCAAAATTTTGACCCTTTCACTTCAAAGTAAAAATATATGATTTAAAGGAAATGGATTGCACTTGTGGGCAGCACGGAGGCACATCTGGTACAGCTGCTGCCTCTCAGCGCGCAGGTCTGTGGATTCAAATCCCGGTCCGGGGACCTTTCTGGGTAGAGTTTGCATGTTCTCTCCGTGCATGCGTGGGTTTTCTCCAGTTACTCCGGTTTCCTCCCACAGACCAAAAACATGCATGTTAGGCTGATTGGTAACTCTAAATTGTCCCTAGGTGTGAGTGAGAAAGTAAATGGTTGTTTGTCTCGTTTGTCTCTATGTGGCCCTGTGATGGACTTGCAACCCGTCCTGGGCTGCCTCTCGTACAGTGATTGCTGGACATGGGCACCGGCGACCCCCGTGACCCAAAATGGAAGAAGCGAGTAAAAGATAATGGATGGATGGATTGCACTTGTAGTGGCATGGGAGAGCAGTGGTTAGCTCTGCTGCCTCACAGCGAGAAGCTTGCAGGTTCGCCTCTGGACCTTTCTTTGTGGAGTTTGCATGTTCACATGATCCACAAACCAAAAACATGCATGTTGGATTCAGAGGTAACTCTAAGTCATCTCCAGGTGTGAGTGAGAGTGTTTGTGACACTCTTTGTGACCCTGTGATGGAAGGAAAACTAAGTAAAAAAAAAAAACGGATGGATGGATGATTGTACTTATCTCATGCCTCCTAAAAATAGACCTAAATAGTCAAATTTTAAACCTTTCTCAATATTTTATGAAAAGAGAGTACCAACAAACTTCCACTCTACATATATGGTTGTAGATGATTAATAATGATTAATAAAAGAGTTGTTAACTAAATGTGCTGCTCTAAAACCTTTAGTTTGGTTTTAATGGTTCAAATATATTAATCTCAGCTTCTCCAAGAAGGTGAGAGCCATGTAGTAACTAATAAATACACACAACATATGGACATTAAACAGCAACTTGGTAAATGTCTAACCATGTTCTTGGTCATTAATTTTTCAGTTTGCATTCATCTTTTTGTATCCACAAGAGAGCAGCAGCAATGTTACTATGAGTAATTATAATTGTCAAATGGGATTAGCATAGCATTGTTTTATTATATAAAATTAACATTTCTAAATAATTTTGCTGAAATCATTTCTAATTTATACAGCAGAGCTATTCAACTGCTGGCCCGGGGAACAAATCAGGCCCACAGTTGAGCTCAGTTTGGCCCACCAATGGGTTCATTTTAAAATAAAATTTTAAACTGTTAAACTTACTTAATGACAATAACTGCTGCATGTCCAGCCCTTGAGCAATTTAGTTGAATAGTCCTGTTTTGAATATATCTAGCATCAGCTTTTTAACAGTCACCCCCTCTGGGTCAGATGGTTTGACGATCAGCATATTAGGACAACAAAGACATAAAGTTGAAAATTAAAAGTTGAAACATATCCGATGCTAGCATATGAAGTTATTGCAAAGTTGAACACAGCTCTTTCTAATGTCAGAGACAGGTCAAAACCAGGTGTCAGGTGAGGGGGAGGAGTCTGTCAGCAGTCCAGAACCACGTCTGGACGACAAGGAGGCGAGTGGGCGAACCCGCAGGCGGACCAAACGCATCAGGACGTGTTTCCGCAGCGAGCAGCTGAGAGCCCTGGAGACTTACTTTGCCCAGAAGCACAACCCTGATGGCAAAGACTGGACCTGCCTTGCTCATAAGACCGGCCTGCCCAAGAGAGTTCTGCAGGTACACGTCACCTGATCCTTTGTGGTGCAGTCCCTTTAAACCCTGCTATCTTTATACTTTATGCTCTAAAATAAAATCAACGTGTTGTTCAAAGTTGCAGACATTCAAAAGTACGAACAATTTCAATTATCAATATTCAACCCCGTTGGTCTTGCTGAAAAAGACGTCTGAATGGAACTTGTTTATAGTTTTCTGCATTTATGAAGCCTTTCCAGAAGTGTAGGCTGCCAAAGGCATTAATGCACCGCCATAACATCAGCGAGGCAGGCCAAAAGGAGGTGCTATCTACATTTTTATTATTATTATTCATATTTGCAACAGATGCAGTTAGGGACTTTCAAACAGACAATTTGGTTCACAAAGCTCATAACACTGTAAAAAATCAGATTTTGGAGGCTCTTCAAGGTCAGACAACTAAATACGCCAGCTTGTCGTTACAATCAGTGTTTTATGTCTCTTTCCATCACTTTTCCTCCACTTTTGTTTTTCCGTCAGGTGTGGTTTCAGAACGCTCGAGCCAAACTCAGGAGGACCCTTAACTCCGAGGACTCCCAGGTCAGTTCCCCTTCTGACCCCTCGAGAGCCGCTGCCATGGCAACCACATCTTCAACCCCCTCCTGCTCTCCATCGGACCAGTCTTTCCCGACCAGCACCATCGACCAGCTGCAGCTCTCCCAGATCACTGCTCCAATTTGTGAACCACTTGTGAGCCCAGTCCTCAATCAGCCAGCATATCAGCTGCTGCAAAGCCCCACCTTCTTCCTGAACTACGATTCCCAGAGTGCAACGGGGTGTATCGCTTCTCTTGACCCCATTGGGGACTTTGTGGAGGCAGCAGGCGGAGTAGAGAGGAGTAGTGATATTTTTGAAGCACATTACAGCTAACTAGTGATTTTATACAGACACAATTTGGGAATTTTCTCTTTAGGTCATAGATTGTCCTCTAAGATTACAATAAACATTTTGGGTTTAAATAAAAGTAACTTTATCCTAATTCAGGAAAGAGAACCAAACAAACTGTGGTTGATAATCAAGGAGTTTATTAGTCCAAAAGCAAACAATTTCATGAACTATTATTGCTTCATTTATCATAGAATTGTGACGATGTTTAATTAAATAAGTGAATAAAACCTACTGTTCAAAAACACTTCTCCTTCTCTTATCTCGTGTGTCACTATTTAGAGTTGAAAAATTAAGTTATATAGGTGAATCAGCAAGTTATGTTTAAAACAATAAAAGTGGCATTCAGTTTTAAGGAGTACAAAAACCAACATGTGATTTGTTAACAAATATTTTGCATTATCATGCTCATAATTTAAATTAATTCAAATTCAAAAATACTTTATTAATCCCAAAGGGAAATTAAATGTTGTAACTCGTTATCCTCATTTCATTAAGAGATGTTATAGATGCTGATGGCTGAAGGATCGCTTGTAAAGGTCCGTCACACAGCGGATCCAAAGAAACTGGCCACAGATCCCGTCCAATCCATACACCCAGACTCAGCTGGCCTCTCGGTTCCCCCAGGCTGCAGGACCGCCCAATACCGGGCAGAACTCCTCCCAGAGTGATGGCCACTCCTCCCAACAGCCTGCCGAGCTCCTTGTCGCTGCGGACAGCCAATTGCAGGTGTTGGGGACGATCTCGGTCCTTCTGCTGTCACAATCCACGTTTCCTGCCAGTTCCAGGATCTCAGTTGTCAGGCACTTGAGCACAGCTGGCAAGGAGATGGGGATGCATCCACGAAGCCTCCTTTTCAACTCATTTGAGATTTGTCCAAATGTCCAAAACTAAGAAAGTTTCAGTAAAAATCCTTCTAGCTGCACAGCATCTGATACCAGAGGAAACAATCATCCAAAAAACGTGATCCAGAAAAAGAGAAATGAAAGTTGCCCAAAGCAAAATCTCAGGGAAAAAGTAACGGAACATGCAGCCACCCCGAGCGGCGCAATTCTAGAACATGTCATGTTATAACATGTGTGTTATATATGAACAACTTGCACAACAATGCAAGTTATATATTTGATTGTTTTAATTGCATTTCCTTTCACCTGTTTCAGCTTTAAATCCGCCAGATAGATTTTAAAGGCTGTTTTTAAGCAACCTGCATGTGGAAACCATAGTAGATGTTGACATATTTTAATTATGAATGCAACTTCCTGGTATTACTCCAACCAGGCTTCTTTATCAATGTGTGCTCAACAATAATAAAAAGCTCTTTTTTGTTTCCACTTTAAAATTAACAAATGATCGGCACCCAGACACGTGTATGTTACAATTGATGGTATTTTAATTTACAGAAAGGCATCATTTGGTTTGGATTTGTCACAAGATGATTATGAGATTCTTTCAGGTATATTTGTGTTTTCCCAGCGAAGCATGTTTTCTAATGAGCACAATCATAAAGGGAAATTGTTACTATTGCAAAGACATTCTTTCATTAAAAACATCTTAATTAATTTTTGGCTTCCTTTTCCTCCTGCAACAAACAAGAAGCTATAATTACTAGTAAATGTAATATTATGACCTCCATGCTGAAATGGGCTAATGCGTCTCTGCTGGAAGAATGAGCTTTATGGCATTCATTGAATATAAATGCGTCAGAGGCCTAAGGGACCAATGGGTGAGGGCGGAGCGGTGGGGATAAGTTTTTAAAAAGGTTTGAAGCAACAGATGTTACAGACGGTGCAAAAAGCTGTCTGACACGCAAGGTAGGAAAAATAAATCAGATTTTTTTTCTTGCTCATATATGGATGTTGATTTTATTGCATTTGCTTAATTTTTTTAATATATTTTAGACTTCTGAGTAAATGTTTCAACAGCTTGTTTAAGTTTAAAGTAGCTTAGACGTAGCATACATATACAGGTGTCTAAACCAGTGGCGATTTTAGCCTCTTTTTTTTGGGGGGGGGGGAGGGGGCTCAAGCACCCCTAAATTCTAACTCAGCACCCGTGAAAGTTAAGAAACCATCATTACGATTTTATGAGGAAGCTCAGTTGTTAAATCTTAGATTCACCAAAATATTGAATCATTTTTGTGAGAGAAGAAGAGTGCATCTTAGCTAGCACATCTAGCATAGTATTGTAATATTGTGTAAAGTATATATTGTGCATCTAGCATAGTACTGTAGTATCTAGTATTGTGCACCGCAATACAGTTGTCGGCATTTGTCAACCGGGAGTGGAGGAGGGGGTGTTAGGATGTGTGAGAGAAGTGGTGCGTGCTCTATTCACACAAGGAGACCTGTTGGTCAGGCTATACTTCTTGTTGCTCTCTAAAATAGTTATTGAATCATTTTTTTTACTTCTGTAGGTAAATCCAGATGTTTAATAACCCATTAAATACACCATAATGCAGGAAATGACATCTACTTTCTTAAAAATTTTCTGGAGGTGGACACCCAGACCCCCCCACCGCTGTGTTCCGCCCACATTGCAAATGCTTCTGATGTCAATGACCGTGTTGTTCAAGTCAAGCGCCATTGTCAGCACTGGGGGCGGAGCGCCCTTAAATGTCAGATTCTAGAATCGCCCCTGATCTAAACAGACTAAAACTTATTCAAATAGAATTACTTGTAAATATTAAGAAGTTGTTTACACAATCCTAATTTTGTTCTTTTTCAAGGACTTTTTAGTCGATTTTATAAAGAGTGGATAATCTTGTTAAATGACCTACTTGATTCTTTGCAGTTTCTTTACTATTTTTTGTCTTATGCAATTTTGTTGCTTTTATTTTAAACAATAGGCAAATAAAAAAATGCAAGTTGAGGTGTAAATAGTGTTACACAAATCTATTTTTAATACAATACACCATTAATGCTTGTTGTTTCCAGATGAGACAGTCTTTCTATCTCGGTTCCTCACAGCTCACCCTCCTCATCCTGGCCCTCCTCTGCCCAAAATCAGCCACAACGTACCCCCAGTCCTCCACAGTGGACCGGCATGAGCTGGAATCCACCCTGAATGACCTCCAGGCTGCCCTGCAGAACCCCAGAGATCCTAAACCTTTGTTACATTGGCCTCAAGACCTCCTACAAGCTCTACTGGGGTCTGAGGAAGAGGAGGATTTAAAGCCCTGGGCAGAGGAGACACTGCTGAGGGCCCAGAGAGGAGACTCCTCGGATCTGCCACTGGCACACTTCCCAAGGGAAAACTCTCTGGAAAACATGCACTTTCAAGAGGGAGGAGAAGGAGAGGAGGGGAGGAAGAGAAATGATGCTCTGACCTCAATAGCCGGAGGACTCCAAGCTGTCAGCCGCGAGAAAGGAGGATTTGGTTTCCGATTCGGAAAGAAAAGATGGACAGAAAAAAGAAAAAATGGCCAAAGGGGCCAAAACAAGGAGGAGTACAAGTGAAAGCAACAAGAGGAGCTTCAACTGGGATGAAAGAGACTGATGTAAAAAAAAAAAAAGTATGAAACTTGATGATTTATTTGGAAGAATGGTGACGCAGTTCTTTTCGTTTTTCTTTACTGTTGGAATAAATGGCAGCCAGATACCCAAAAACGACTTTTACAGCTGCTCAGTGCTGAATGTTTGAAACAAAGCAATAAAGCAGAACTTCTTGGAGAAAGAATTTTGTTTTTATTTCATGATCTCTATCTGATTTAAAGTTGTGAATAAAAGACAAACAGTAAACTGTATGGACAATTGTATTTGGGTGTATTGTCTGTGGCTGACAATGAACTTCACAAAAATTTAACTATTCTATGACATAAAAATTTTTTAAAAAAATCTGTGCTCCTTTGTAGGCTGGAATTTTTTCTGTTGTATTGAGATGCACCTGACTGATATTCTATACCAAATGTTTGGTAAAATAAAACTATAGTAGCTTTACATAACTTGGCCAAAGCAACTAAAAATCATAAAATGGACACATCTCAAATAAAAAATCGAGAAATGTACATTAACGTTAATAAAATGCATGACGAAACATGGGCAGACAGAAAACACTGACATGAAAAAATTATACTAAATCAGCGGAATAGGTTGAACAGTTTAAATTATTAGACTCCAAGTGTGCTGCCTTACCTGCCTGCTTCTCTGCAGCCAAACATACAACAGTGTAATCTGCCTAGCAACCAAAAAACAAGACTAAAAATAAATATGTTGTTACTCCAGTTTGTTATTCAACCAAGAGCAAGCATCAGACATTTTCTATGTACGTGGGTCATTCATAATATTATTTTTTTTATGTGAAACTCAATTGTTAAATCTGCAAGATCTAAAATCAAGGCCATGAGATCAAAGACATAAATACATAAAAGTTTTACAAGACAGTTTAGTTTCAATTATGTTTTATGTAACGAAAGGAGGAATATCCAAGATGGTCCCGTATATATATATATATATATATATATATATATATATATATATGTAAGGTGGACTTCTCCTTCCTATGTATCTGGCACAGAGACCGTTATTCAGGATTATATGAGCTTTGCTGACACGAACATAAGGGAAGTTTAGTGCTGCACCTTTAATTTTCACATTTTTACAAAAATGTTTTCAGATAATGCTTAAAAATTATTTTATTAATGTATTTTTTATAAGTTATGTAAAACTAAATATTTCAAAAGCCTGGCGCTTGCCTGCCACATAACCCGTAGAAAACTAATTTGCCTAGCAACCGAACATGAATTTTCTGATTGGCTGCGCACGCGGTATAAATAAAAGCTGTAAACACAAAGCTTAAAATGACAGGTATCTGCAAAAACATCAAAAGCCCTAAGAATAAATTAAAGTTTCCGGAAAAATCATTATTGCCTATATCTTAGTTTAATATGTTTTGTGACAGTTTTGTATCATTTGTGTGTGTGTGTATTTTGTTGATTTTGGTTTGGAAGAATTTTGTAATGTTCTCTAATTGAAATAAAGTTTAATTAAAAAAATAAAATAAAATAAAAAAAAAACATGCTGCTGTGCATTATCCTAAACGAAACCTAAGTAAAAATCTTAAACTTTTCTATTACGTAATGCTAATTTATTTATGAGTCCTACAAGAAGTAAATCAGCAACCGTAAGATAGGGCGTTGCAATATATAAATAAATAAATAACCGTTTCATAACAAAAACAGACGCCATGATTAAAAAAATAAAATAAACAGACGCCTTGATATGACGCGATACGTAAAGTAAGGAGCATTCAATGATGCTTGGAAATATTATTTTTAATTGATACCTTTATTACGGTTAAATATACAATGCACCATGTTTTTGCTTAATGCGCAAACATTCGCTACACGGGTAAAATTAGAAAACGTTGGGAACATTAAAGGGCTATTATATACTCAAAATAACAAATCAAAAATGACGGTGATTTTTTTTTTTTTGTCATCCAGGTCATGTTAAATAAAAAAGGGTAAAACAAAAACAAAGCAACTGGATTTCTTTCTAAAGCTGGATAGAATAGAAGTCCCAGTTGTATTTTTTAATCCTTTTTGGAACCATTCAAAATTATTTATTATTTTAGATATCTGTTGTTCCTAAAACGTACGCCGAAAAAAAAAACCAAACAGAACTCTAAAATTTACGAGGATCCATGAACGCACCTTCAATGAAGAAGAAACGACTTGGCGGAAACGGCAGCGCGGACGGAAATACCAAGAAACTACGGTCCAAAAAATAAGTTTCAACAAGACCTGAACCGAGTTTACGTTCAGAATGTTATTCGTCACCCTTTTTGTCCTTTTGGGGGCAAAGATGACGGTGTACTGCGGTAAATTTTTAGAGTTTTTTACACGTTTGTGAAAGTGAAACTAAAAAAAGCAGCTGTGTCGTCGTTAAAATTTGTAGTTATTAACATTTTCTGTCCTACTGGCAAAGACCATAGGTTTGTTCATATGTCGTAATAATTATATGATCTAGATAGGCCTGCATCATAAAAAAAAAAAAACCATCCAGACTATAGTAAAAATCCTAACACAATACGAGTTAACCTGACTGACGAGCGTAGTTCAAATGTTCTCTGCTTCCGCACTCCTTTTTAATCTGATAGATTATTACCTGACTTTATCACAAGCAGTTCAGGTAATTCATACCTCTGTATGACTCACGTTTGAACAATAAAAACAATAAAATATGAGGATGTGTCTGGCCTGCCACGTCTTCTAACCTACAAAGCCCTCAACAACCTAGCTCCATCTTGCATTCAAATGGTAAATGGACTGTACTTGTATAGCTCCTTTCTATCGTATCGAGATACTCAAAGTGCTTTACACTACAATCCGTGCCCTCATTTACCCATTCATACAGCGCTCTACTAGATCAATTGAACAAATCATTCTAAAGAGCTTGTAGTTCCATATTTTACTAACAGAGCCCTTCACTCTCCGGCTGCAGGCTATTTCGCGGTCCCTAGAAGATCTTTCAGTTCTCAGGCTCCTCTCTTGTGGAACCAACTTCCAGTTTCTGTCTGTGAAGCTGACACATTGTCCAGTTTTAAGACTGCGCTTAAGACTTTACTTTTTGATAAATCCTATAGTTAGTGTTGGTTTGTTATGCTGCCGTAGGCTTAGACTACTGGGACAAATTAACCTCATTTCTTAAAATGAATTGTTAAAATTGAATTTTTGTTTTTATTTTAAATTAGTTCTATCTTAACATGTGATTCTCAACCTGCCATTGTGTATCTATTCCTCCTTCCTGTTCCTCTCAAATCCAGCCGGTCGAAGCAGATGGCCGCTTGTCCTGAGCCTGGTTCTGCTAAAGGTTTCTTCCACATGAGGGAGTTTTTCCTTTCCACTGTCGCCTTCATGCTTGCTCAAGATGAGAGTCTGCAATGTAATTAAACTCAAAGCAGTCTGCTCCTCACATAAATAACGTTATTAACTTACTTGTTATGTATGAATGTTTCAGTTCAGTTCCCTGAGATGACTTCTGTTGTGACTTGGCGCTATATAAATAAATTAAAGTGCATTGAATTTAATTCTGCTGTAATCACTATCAAAGTGTTTAGATTCAAAGTAATCACTGTTGTGTTATATGAAATGCTCTGACGAGTTTGTTTTGAGAGTTTGATGTACATGGGTAAAGGTTGGGCAACCACTTTATATGTAGATGGACAGCATTGCCTAAATATTTTTGACATTACAAGCAACTAAAACTTTTTATCTTCTCTATTACAGCTTCAGAGGGACACATTTAGAAAGCCCAGAGATAAAAACCAATCCACCTGCTTTTTCTTGTATATAAGCCATCAGGACATGTTTTCTCACAATAAGATAAAACATTTTGCTTATTCTTCCAAGCATTTTAGTTAGGGATACACGATATTATCGACTTGGTATTGCTATCGGACGATATTAGCGATAAAGTTAAATATCGGATATCAGCCATTCCATCAAGATAATTCACCGATATAAAATGCTCTGTTTTTATGCATACATATATATACATGTATGTGTATATATACAGTGCCTTGCAAAAGTATTCGGCCCCCTTGAACTTTTCAACCTTTTGCCACATTTCAGGCTTCAAACATAAAGATATAAAATTTTAATTTTTTGTGAAGAATCAACAACAAGTGGGACACAATCGTGAAGTGGAATGAAATTTATTGGATGTGTCAAACTTTTTTAACAAATAAAAAACTGAAAAGTGGGGCGTGCAATATTAGTCGGCCCCCTTGTGTTAATACTTTGTAGCTCCGCCTTTTGCTGCAGTTCCAGCTGCAAGTCTCTTGGGGTTTGTCTCTATCAGTGTTGAACATGGAGACACTGAAATTCTGCCCATTCTTTCTTGTAAAACAGCTCGAGCTCAGTGAGGTTGACTGGAGAGCGTTTGTGAACAGCAGTCTTCAGCTCTTTCCACAGATTCTTGATTGGATCCAGGTCTGGACTTTGACTTGTCCATTCCAACACCTGGATACGTTTATTTGTGAACCATTCCATTGTAGATGTGTCTTTATGTTTTGGATCATTGTCTTGTTGGAAGATAAATCTCCGTCCCAGTCTCGGGTCTCTTGCAGACTCAAACAGGTTTTCTTCCAGAATGGTCCTGTATTTGGCCCCATCCATCTTCCCATCAATTCTTCCATGCTGACGAAAAGCAGGCCCAAACCAGTTCAAAATACTCCTGTATGTCTACAAATCGCTGAACAGTACCCCCCCCCCCCCCCCCCCCCCCCCCCCCCCCCCCCCCCC